TGCCAAAGTTGACATCGGGCACAGTAGACTGGAATTTTCTCATTCCTGGTCTCAAAAAGCATACTCGAATGGTCTGCGAAGAACCTGGAGACGATGAACGTTGATCCTGCGGAATGATCCACTTGGCGAGAGCAAGGGGGTTGTGGCAGCGAGGGCAAAATTCATTTTCCAAAGCCATCCAGCGATGTAAGGGAACAAGTCGTAAAGTCGTGTTCATTGGTCGGTGAATGCATATATTAAGACGTGTCCGGCGCACTTGTCGCAGTGGGGGAAGGCTAACAAATGTCCCTCCTGAAGCGTTTGACCCCTGGTAAGTTCAGCCACCCCCTCCGGCAGACTAAATCTCGAAAGCCGGGCAACCCCTGCAGGCACGGCGTTTATGGAAGGACTGGTGCAGCGTAGCCGACCGCGTAGCCACCGGAGGAAACTAATCAGCAAATTCGTGTTCTAAATCTAAATCGCCGTCCGAATATTAATTCGAGACCGCTCTGTCTCTGTTCGCCTGGTCGTCCGGCAGCCAGAATCCCCCCATCCGTGGCGAAACCGGGGCCTCCTCCGTCGTCCGACCGTTTCTCTAGGTTTTGCGCGATACACCAGCCAGTGCTGTAGCTACGAGAGCACCAGGCTGATTTGTGGCACCGGCTGGCGCCTAAGCGATATTTACGACTGTCGTTCAAGGAATCGAAACACCGTGCTACGCCGTGTTCTCCGCGGGATCGCTTTTAATTGCATTGAAAAGTCCACGGCTTCCCGGAAATCGATTTCGAGAGCCGTAGCCGAGACAGTTAAAAAACCACCGTCTATTCGGTGGAGGACCCTTCGAAAACGTTCCACGCCGCTGCTTTTTGTCCGGCTATCCCGTATCCATAACTGATAATTAATCCAACGTCTCTGCAGCTCGCGTTACATTCCGTTAAACGACACGGATCCTCGTTCCTCGGCGGATGTCTCACCCTTTGACGAAGAAGAGATTCTTGCGGCAGAGGGTCAGGAGGATAGACGGACAGGAGCCCGGAACAAACGGACAATTTAGCCCGTTTTAAGGGCACGCGTCCAAACAGGCAAGAGCGAACGCGGGAACAGAGCACTTGGTCCTGCATGACAAAAAATCGGGGGTTGCTTTCGGTGACTGATACGGCCCTGACTAACGAGCCTCCGCCGGACGATCGTTCCACTCTTAAAGCCTCGAAGGGTGGTCCTTTCTCCCTTTCTCGTCCGCGTCCTTTCCCCGTTTCTTTCTCCGTCGTTCGCGGAGGCACATTAGGCACCGTCCAACCTCGTATCAATCACTCGACAACCCTGGTAGCCGAGAATCCTTCGTCGACCTCGGTTGACAGAACCGGAGGTGACGCGATTGAATACCACCCTCCGGGCATCCCCGGCCCACCGACGCGATCACCGCGCTACTGGAAAACCCGGGGAAGGAAACGTTCCTCGTGCCACTGCACCCGGTTAATGGCACACGGGCGAAAGACGATCGACGGCTAACGAGCCACGATGGAATCGTCCATCTTTCCGTCTTGCCGGTCTCTATGATGCGCGACGTTAAGCGTGCAACCTTAATAACCCTAATGTCGAACCTTAACCCTCTCGATACGACATCCTCGATCGCGAATGAGTCTTTGGTACCGTGACACCACCTGGGCCAAAGCTCCCCGACGTCACGTCGCTGATCCGCTTACCTAACCGATGACGATCAACTCTCGCAAACTTGCGAAAACTCCGAACGAATGTCCCAAAATCCTCGATCGCGGTTTCCCTAAGGGTTCCACCACGAAAAACCATGGCCACGCGATCTCAATCGGGCAAGACGGAGAGGAGGAAGATCAATCGGGGATGTAGATCAAGCGGCACGAGTCCGCGAGCCACCGAGTGTAGAGAAGATCACGGTTTTAACCCTAAACGACATCTCCATCTGGGCGATCCGCGATCCGGCCGCTGGATATCCCGAGACGAGACGCCGGGCTATTCGGGCCGGACTTTGCAATTCAAATGACCCGCCGGACGATTCCCGACGAGGCAGAGCCTTGACAAATGTCGCCGGAAAAAAATGCCCGGCCATCCGCGACCGAGAGACGGACAAGACAATGGGATGTTTAGAGGCCTCCGGCTCTCTTGAACGCGAGAGACACGCCGGTACCTCGAGCGCAACCAACGACGTGAACATCGGTCCGCAAGATCCCCCTGGTGCTACCTTCGGGACCCAATTTGCCTGCCAGTTAGACGACAAGGATCAGTCGTTCGACAAAGTGGGCTTGCGCGTGGCCGATTCACCGGTCGCGTAAACCTGATCGGTGTTCCGGCGTTCGTGGGTCATCGAATGGTGGAATCATGCCCGTCACTGTGGGTCCGTGGAACCATTATCGTACAGCTACTTTGGTAAGTGCTAGCGATTTTTTGAGCCAGAGGCTTTTCGAGGAATATTTCCCAAATATTCAGCCATGTGATAGCCACAGTCCGGTACTGACCTTTCTAGAGGTTAGGTATAGGCTATGGAGACTGAAGATCCTAGTGACTTTTATGTCAACCACCTTTTCTGGCATTAAACGAACTGATGTCTGATCCCAAGGAACTGGGGATCAATCATGATCCAACTTGACGAGGAAAGGAAAGAAGATCCACTTGGTGATCGAGATTGGCTACTGGCTAGTGACATTCCCAATCCGAAGACCCCAAATTCGTACCCTCTAGCAATGACAACAAACTCGAAAATTGTATCTGGTATTTAAAAAAATAAAATAGCTATTTTCTGGGCCAGACGCTTTCCAGGGGATATTTCCGAAATATTTAACACTGCGACAGTGGTACCCTGATTTTTCAAAGATCCAGAGACGCGGAGGGACTAAAGATCCTAGTGACTTTCATGTCAGCTACCGTTCTTGATCCCAAGATACTCGGGAGTACTCCAACTTAACGAAGAAGTGATTCCCAATCCCCTAGTGACATTCCCAATCCGAAGACCCTAGATTCGAATCTCTAACAGTGGTTAGTGCTGTAAAAGTGACACCAAAGTCGACAATTATACCTGTCGTTTAAAAAATAGAACAAAGTAACCCTAAATCTCGATATCCAAGAGAGTCACGTGAAAAATACTTTACGTTACCTATGTACAATTGCACGGTGCCTAAATATCCGAAAATTTCGAGTCGGGTTGCGTTCGTATCACCCAGTAGATGCGAGAAAGAATAGAAAAAGACGTAGCAGAGCCGTAAAATTTCTTCGCGATGAAAACAATTGCTGCCGGGGGATCGAATCGCGAGGATCAAGGGCGAGAAACTTTTAGAAGCCCATTTGGACCGGCACCACCTACTCATCTCCCCTCGGCACCGGTTTTTCTGTCGGTTAATTTTCAGGATACTTCTTAATTATAATGAGACACTTTGGGGTCTGCCAGAGAAGCCAACGGAGGATGGCAGCGAGACAAACGTAGGAGGGGTATTTATGTAAATCGGTGGCTAATGTCTTCTGGCATTATTCCTCGGGTTAGCCTGCGCGAGGGGTCGGGGCAGAGGGAACGGGGGAATGACGTATAGTTCCACGCACATTTACATACACCCGTTAGATAACACGCGTTATCCCAACACAGAGGATGACACGATCGGCGACATCTCGTCGGACAATTTCATCCTAATTCCTCACCAATCAGACGGGCATTCCGCTCCCTATTAGCCGGCTGTTTACATGCCGACAGAAAAAGAAACCGCAATTTCCCTCTAGCAAACTGTCTACAATTTCCCCGTCTCGATTAAGTCACAAATAAATTCTAGCCGGATCGGGAGATCCGGTTGCCGGCGAACGCGAAATTCGCGGCAAGAGAAATGTCCGCGACTCGCGCGCCGCGATTAAGCCACAAATAAATCCTAGACGTATCGGGAGATCGAGTTAAAATCGGAAAAAGGAAAAATCGCCTGCGCACGGATACGTGCTGCGTGCATGTGCGTGAGGCTGTGTACTGATAATTAGACCGGCCGCGTACGTCCGCGGTGAGAAAGAGAGAAGACGAGGGAGAAGGAGAGAGAGAAAGAGGGAGAGAAAAAGAAGGAGACACGTGGGGGAGCACCGGTAACGATCCGCCTAGGGACGATCGTTTACATAATGACCCCCCTGGAATCGTACGAAAATTAATTGCCGATAAGATCGAACGGTCCCAGGATGGAATAAAAGAGAAAGCCGTTAATTGCGCGATCAGTCTTCGGATCTCTGCACCGTACCAGGAAATTGATAGGCCTATCGTCGAGTACGTGCAACCATCATCGTGACGTTATAATCGTTTCAATTCGATTCGTTATACGAATTATTTTCTTCCCCTCGAATTTACGAGATTGGAAAATCCAAGAGCTCGTTCTGCCCCGTCGCCGATCGTTTAACACGGTTCTCTAATTGCCCGGTCGCCAGGATTTATCCCACGACGAGCGTTTCCTTATTTTATTTTACGCCGGTAAGCAACGATAATCAACGATCGGTATACGAGATCGCGATCGCGACGCTTTCCACTCTCCATACCAAAGTATTTCTAGAAAAATCGTTGAAATCCGCGCGAAGCTGGCTCTTTCCCCCCATATTGCGAATCGGGGATGAACGAAGAATGAAATAGAAGGATGAGAGCAAAGATGCGAATCGCGAAATCGTTTAACACTGTTTTCTAATTACCTGATCGCCAGGATTTATCCCACGACGAGCGTTACCGATTTTATTTTATATCAATAATCAACGATAATCAGCGATCGGTATACGGGATCCCGATCGCAACGTTTTCCACTCTCCATAGGGTAGTATTTCTGAAAAAATCGTTGAAATCGACGCGAAGCTGGCTCTTTCCCCCCATATTGAGAATCGGGGGTGAACGAAGAATGAAATAGAGGGGTAAAAGCAAAGACGCGAATTGCGAAATCGTTTGCTACTCGCGTAGTAGAGTCTTGTAAACCCGTCGCCTATTTCCCAGCTACTTCTACGAAATATCGAAGAAAATTTTCGATTGCCAATCCTGACTCTATACTCACCGGGGTCCGTGTTGAAGTCTGCGCTGTTCTTCTTAATGACGATTGGGTAATCGACATCGTAAAACTGCATCAGCTTCGACCATTCCTCCGCTGTCGCGATGGTGTACCTGAAACAAATTTTTTGGTACGTTCCTTTAACGCGTTCCTTCGAATTGCAATTAAATAGACAGAAACGTGGATAACATGTCGCTAGTGTAAATGAGCAAATGGCGAATATAACGAGAAACGAAGAAGCTAGTAATACGAGTATATGAATCAGAAATATGTAGTCTGTGTAATAATTATAAATATAATCTGTATAATTTCTAGGATAATTATAAATCGTTGAAAAAGGCGAGTTAATTTTCTTCCTCTGCCTCTCGAAATTAATACATTTTTCGATAGATGGTAAGTAGAATTTCTGATGAGTAACGAAACATAATAACCTGTAGAAAATCAGAAAAAGTAACGAGATTCTTTCTTCTCCCCTGAGACATCCGGCGAAAAACTGAAACCGTACGCGAATCGATCGATTCAGAAATCTTGCACAAACAAAAAGAGAAAAATCCTTTCGTTCCGTGGCCATTATTCCTCCGTTTTTTCCTTCCTTTTCCCCAACTTTGTTATTCGTATGCACGCAATCTTCGACGGATTATTTGCCCAGTGATCACCGGACGAATCGCGGCGCTGATAAAATCGAACGATGCACAATCGCAACATTGGCGTACTCGCAAGGTGGAATTCGCGATTTTCCGACAACGTTGTAGAATCCGAGATGCTTTTTGCTCCGTCTCCCTTAATTATACCGCAAATTAGAAATTTCTTGCCGCGCACCGGCTCCAGCTTTTTGCCCCAGCAATTGTTCGCCCGATCCTGGCGTGGTTCCTGAAGCTCGTGCTCCTCGCTGGCATCTCGCGTCCCTATGATCGATAACGCCTTGAAAAATCGCGCGTATCGAAAATCGCGAGAACCATTCCTTCGATCGATCGCGAAAAACCGAGGGAAAAAATGAAAAACAACGCTGGATTTCGACATTGAGATGCGAAAAATCTCGCACGCCGTCGATTCGGGGATTTCAACGTTCGCAAAAAGAGAGAGACGATCCTGGCCTGGAAATTCGTGGAAATTTCCATCGATCTCGATCCCGTGGATCCATAGACGTGTCTCAAAGAATTTGCCCAGAAAAATCGCGTCGAAAAGTGAAAAATGGACGCTGATCGAGCGATCCGATTAGAGATGATAAGGGATTGTAAAAATCGGCAGGGGTAGGTATTTATTTTATATATAAATATATGATATATATATACGTTGACCGAGAAGCAAACAGAAATTTACAGAAGCGCGTTCCGACGCTGTGGAGCGAGCAACCAGCTGATACGAGACGATGATGACCCGGCCGATAATTAGTTGCGCGACATTAATTTCGATTCAGCGCAATATGCCGCGCGGTCTCATTTGAATTTTCACGAGGCAAAAACCGCGCGGACGAGCTTGTCGTCTCTCCTCGTGTATTTGCCTAACGCCGGAATAATGGTGGATGCATCGAGGAGAGCCGGAGAAAAAGGGAGGGAATCGGAGAAATCCTCGTCGTTTGAGGTGGAAAAAAAATTGACAGCCTCGAACGAGACAGGCCGCCGAATATAATTCCACGTTCAACTGGACCCGCGTTTTATTCCCACAAAATGATCGTTAACTCTTGGTTGCATCGATCCTGCGATCACCGCGTTATCCTAGAACACGCGAGCCTAATCGTATCGCTCGTGACGTCCAAAATGCTGTCAAAAATGCCAAAAACCGGAGAACAACGTCGAGAATACGCGAATCTCGATGATTGACGAATTACAAAATTATTTCTCAACTCTACGACATCGTGATCGAATTTTCCCATAGCTTTTGACATAAATGACCACCGATTTATGATTTCGAATAAGGAAGAAAGTTGTTTCGTTTCGGGAGAGTATAAAAATTCATGTCCGAGGGTATATATCTTTCATCGTGACCAAGAAAAATCTTCCGGACAGATGTTGGAGAGTAAGTGAATTACTATAGAAGAAAGTATGGAGAAGAGGTCGAAGATTGACGGCTAAAATGATTTTTTAACGGTCTGGATACAGAAGAGGGTGAACAGACGGACGACTTAAGCCGTCGGCTATCTTAGGCAGATAGTGGACAATGGTTTAGCATAATGGTCAGAGGGTGGATTGCCACGCTGGCCCCGGGGCGTGTTGGTGACATTTTCGTGTATCCATCACGTCACTGGACTCCGAGGATGAGAGGAAGAAAGCTGTGCCAAAAGATCACGCACTTTCGCTTTATAATACCATAGTTAGAGCAGCGACTCTTACTCAGCCGAAAAACCTGGACTTCTGTCTCGAACTTGACTCTCTTCCTATCAAACGCATAGAGGAGGGAGGAGGAAAGAAAGAGACTACTTACAAGTCGTTGTTAACTGTAGGTGAGTACAGGAATCCCTTGTGAGGCTCGCAGAGAAGCACAGCGTTCCGAATACCAGCGGGCGGTGCTTTCGAGAAGACCTCGGCGTACCTGGAACAAAGATGGAATGAAAAATATTAGTCCACGTGACTGCGGATCGATTTACACCATGGTACCATATATTTACATCGAAAGAAACGAGTAACAGAGTCTCCGAGAATTCGGTTAAAATTCCGATTGCTTTCCCCGAAATTCACCCCCCGAGCGGCTGCCATTTGCAAGCGACAAGCGCCGCCGGTACGAATGATAAATCCCCGAGCATTAAAAATATATTTTCAGGATTATTTTTTACCAGCACTGTCAGCCAGTTAATCGTTTCGAATAATGCAACCTCGTCCATGACACGTCTTTCGGGTCGTGGACCAGAAAGACGGCGAGGAGGAACGCTTCCTTCGGGACATTCCGGGGGTGATGTGTCGGGGGATTGGGGTTGTGCATCATTTTTCACATACCACGAGGGGGCGGACGGTTTTTGCCGTCTCCCTACCCGTCCACCATCCAGATAATGCTCTTAAAGACGGATATCTCCCGCGAAACGAGAGCCAGGTACGCGATCATCCTGCCGAGTCGTGGAAAACTGGATTTCCCGGCCGTAGCCATATGCTCGACAATTAGATCAACCATAATTTCTCGCTTCTGCCGCTCTTTTCCAAACGACTGGCGAATTTTCTATCTCGAGCAGGACCGGCCGGGGGATAAGAAAATTCTCAGGACGAATCTACGGGACGGATAAATCCACGGCTGGGAATCGGGATTATTGGAATATCGGGTAAACGAATCGGACGATGGCTGAAACTCTCCACCATGGAGAGTGGTGGGAAAAAAAGGAAGTAGGAAAGCAGGAAGCTCGCGAAACGTGTTTGCAAACCGCGAGGACGCCGAGGAAGAGCAAATATCCGTTGTGGAGGATTTAAAAAATGTCTCCCTGCCGGATACCCCCGAGCGGGTTTTCCAGAAGCGAATATGCGTATTAATTATGAGCCTTGTTCAAACAGTCGAACAGAGGGACGCAGAGGGGTGAGGAGGAAATTGGTCACCCTTATTACAGTCGAACCGGCGAGTAGTCTCTCTGTTGTTCGCGCTTCCCGTGTCCTTCCTTCTCCCCCTCTCTCCTCGCAGACACGGTTTCTCTCCTTTTTTTTTTATTTCTCATTCGAGGCTTTGTCTAACTTCTGTCACGGAATTTTTCCGGTCCACGGCGATTATTACTCCCAGGAGATGGGAGAGGAAAACAGCAGCCGAGAACTCCCGCTACAAGGGGGTAGTTATGGCCGCGCTACGAGGGGTGGCAAACGTTCGAGGAAATCGTTTGGAAATGCCTCGATAATTCGGACGGAAGTCGACCACGAGCACTTTGCATCCTTCTTCTTCCTCTTCCACCCCTTGTCCGATGAAACTATCGTCCAGTTAAATAAGGGAGAAAAATTAGTCGCGTTTATGCGTGTATTACGCGAAATTTTTCATCCCCTTTTTGCGAGACACTCGGTATCGAATCGTTAACCCGTCGATCGTCTGACGATCGACCATCTCGCACCTTAAGGTATAATTTACAATGAACCGAGTCAATTTGTACTACCAGGACTACCAGGCTTTGGAATACGCACATTCAGGCCTGTTCCGTCCCTTTTTGCTCGCGGAAAAATAAGCTATCATCGTCAAAGGAAAAGCGATTTACCATGCCGCAACCGGAAGGTTTAATACGACTGGGAGCATGAAATTGAAATCGTTCTATGTCGTTGCGCAGAGCGCAAAGAACATCCTCCGAGGTGCTGTTTTCTCTCATGGAGGAGACGAGCAGCTTCGAGGGAGAGATATCTCCGTGTTGATTAAAGGCTTCCAGGGATCGCGTTGTCTCCAGACTCATTCGTGCATAGAGCAGGATATTACACACCGGTACCGAATAATGATATCTCGACCGCAGTGATCATATAAACCGCAATGATTACAAGGATATCCGAGATGCATCGACATCTAGTCTGGTATGCGGATCATCGAGCGTTCGCGTCGCAATTTCAATGAACATTCGACTTAATTGGAGTCCATTGTGGACAGAGATTATCTTAAATTTCCTATAGTCTATTTTTTTCTTTTATTTTTCTTTTTTCTTGGACTTTCATCGACGTCCGGATTGGCAATGATGTTCTTCTTTCGTGGATAAATTTGATGGCGAGAGAAGAAAGGAGGAATAGGATAAGAAACCGAAGCCTTTTTCCCCGATTCACGCTTATTTCTTGATACAGCAATCTTTTCATTAGCAACGTCAAAAGTGACACGCTTGGAAGAAGAATCGCCTCGGAGGGGACTACAATGCCATTCCTTCCCTGACATCCCTTTGAATGTGGGCGATGGTTCAATATTAGCTGGAGCAAACCGCTTTCGACGAGGACGACACGATTATTCGACCGAAACAGGGGTGAATCCTCTCCGTTTCACTCACCAACACCCCGGTAACCTACCCCATGTCCTCCCTAACTTTTCTTCCCTTGTTTTCCTCCTTTTTCGTCTGCACTCCCGTCTCCGCGATTGCCCATGTGAGCAAAGTTTCTCCACCGTTCGCTGTTTTTCGTCGCCATTCCACGTCGAGCCTCTGCACACGCGGAATTTGGATAGACTCGCGATGAAAATCGTAAAAGGTGATGCGCGTTGGGATATCTCGGATAAAAAGGTAACAAACCGAATCGGACTACTTTAATCGAATCTTGATCCCTGGCCAAAGAAGTCGCTTCTAATTCCGCAGGAATCCTCTTCTTCCTACGCCAACGTCCAACTTTCTCGACTCACCACGTGGCTCTCTCGCGATTCTTCTTTTTCGCCTCCCGATTTCGTTGCTTTCCAATCGATCTCGCTCCTCCGCTTTATCCGCTCCCCATTCGTCCTGTTCCCTGTCCATTGATTGGGCGCCCGTATACACCGATTTCTTGCCGGTCCTTCTCCTTCAGCAGAAATAAATCTTGTGTTTTCGCGTATAAGCGGCCTTTTAATATCACCGGGCTTGATTTACCGCCGCGAGGCCATGCATCCTACGCGTAAGAGAGGCCAAGCCAACATCTACCCACCCCCGGCGCCCGCTCTGACATTTGTCTTCCGGCCGGGAAGAAGGGAACACGACTGTCCCCAGGTTTTCCCTGATTTACCGCTCTATATTTGACTAAACGCTCCCGGATCTCCGCGATGCTCGCTACAGGACCAGCGAGATCGGTCAGATCGGCCTGAGAACGTTGCGAGAAGACGCTTCCGGTCTCTGTGGATCCTCCTGATTGATTAAACGACACATAATTATCTTCGCGATCTTCGAAGAGTTCGTGTATACCATAATCTAGCAATTTTGCGAAACTACTCTTCCAAATCAGCCCCAAAGTCTTCCAGTCGGTGTCAAAGTAGTCTCAGTCGTTGAGCTATGACGCTCGCAGTGTTAAGGTGAGAGTTTATCTGCTCTAGTCGTCTCGGGTAGACTATCTGTCTGTGGATTGAGATATGGGCCTTGCAGTACCGACTCAGACCTCGTGGAATGGTTCCTTAATTGGTTCCAACCCCATGGGGCAGCTGCTCCGTGTACCCGGCTACAAGGCCTCGCCAGGGACCTTCCAATTGCCGCTGCCCAGTGTCACTGATTCGCCGACGTAATCTTCGTTCTCGGTCCAGACTGCTAAAACTTGGAGAGGTTTCTTCACTTTTGCTTACTTCGGTCTTCCACTAGCCATTTTTGGATGTATTCAATCATTTGAGAGAGGAACTTGGGATGTGAC